GCAAGATATTGGGAAATGAGATTACGATGTTTTGGCAGCCTTTGGTCCAATTGCACCAGGAACGACGCTGGGATACCTGGCTCTACCATAATCAAGAATAGGACCGACTGTTCTCCGTTCATAAAACAGCTGATGAGGATACATTCGAGACCTACCCTATTCAACCCCGCCCACTGCTCCTGATACAGCCGTGCATCTATGAGAGGGATCGAATATCTGATCTTCCAACCTCCCAGTACATCTACCAGAATTTTCGCCATCAGGTCGCCTGGAAAAATCCTGTATTGGAAACGGTCGATATACATCCTCCTCATCTGTGTTGCAATCACTTCCGGCGAGGCCAGCCCTTGGAGAGGTACAGCTGGTAGTACCATCATGCCATTTTGGGCCTTCAGTCCAATGACATATACATCTTGGCCGTGGATCGCGCATACGAAAGGGAGGAGGAACCCTTCCTCCTGTTCCCTCTCCCCTCTTTCCACCGTCATTACGCCTTCTGGGATTACTCTTATTGACTCACCCTCTTGCTCCCTTTCTACCATGGCTGCTGAATTCGACTGCCTTCCGTGTTGCGTAGTTGAGCTCTTTGACGTTGTCGCGCTTGCTCCCCCAGCCGCGCTTCTTTCTTTTCGCTTTCCCAACATGTTGGGGTCTTCCACGTCCATTTTTAATTCCGGCTCCTGCAGCCTCACGACCACTTCTGCTGACAGTTGTTCAACGTTCGTTCCTGCAGGCTGTTGAGATGTGCTGCTCCTCCCACCGTTTTGAGGTCCTCCTTGAGGGGCTGATGGATGCTGTAGCAGGCCCATACCTCCTGGACTCGGGGTATGGATACCCGGGGCCGGATACATTCCTCCTGGGTGACCTGGCTGGGGTACCGCACCCCCTGCCAGCTGCAATGCGTACGAATTTTGCCAAATGCCCGCTGCTTGTTGTTGCTGCCAGCGAAAAGCTCCATCATTCACGTACGGTGTGAAAGCTCCATGCTGCGGCTGTGGTCCAACAGCTCCTTGGGGGGCATTGGTTCTGAACCATACTTCCAAGCGGACGCCGTCCGGGCGGTTCCGCACGTGCGGCAGACCGTCGGACCGGACCCGTGCGGCGCACGAATGTGCGCCGCACGACCAGTTACGCCCCACCCCCMCCCCCAACAAAAAAAAAAAAAACCGTCTGGTCCTGTCCGGGTTCGTCTGGTCCGGGGGGAGTGCGCCGCACGCGGCAAAGCGGACCAGATCGGACGCTCGTCCGGTCTGTCTGCTTGCAAGTATGGTCTGAACAAGTTGATGGCTGGATCGCACTGGTGCCTTTCAATGTGCCTATATTGCCCTTGTTCAAAGCTCGTTCCCGTCCTCTAGGCATCCCTGATCGAACTTGGGAGCCTTGCTGGCTTCCTTGCACAAAACTCTCGGACAGATCTCTTGCAGCCTCGTGGATCCTACGTTGTCTCAGGGAAGTTCGATTATCTTCCCTTCTCCCGACAAAATTATCCGCCGTCTCGCCATCGCCCGGTGCTTGATTACTTTGCTCTGCAAGCTTTGGACAACCGCTCGTGGCCGTATGGAACCACCATCGACACTTCTTGCACCATGGAGTATGCTTACACACCCCTTTGATTGTGATGATCTCCATCTTCGAGTTTCATCGGGAGTTCCAATACGAAGTTGCTCTCTGCTTCCTAACCAGATCATACTTCCTGTTCATGAACTTAGGCCTTGTTTTATCAGGTTCCGGGTCGTAAGCCTTTATAACTTTCCCCATAGACTTCTCCAGCATATCTTGCACATGGAACACTGCTCGGATCGGAATCCTCAGCACAATCACCCAAAACTCGGTCTCGTCATCAACTCTTCTTCTATCCTCCAGCTCTTTCCTCGTCATCCATGGCTTGAATAACATAGGGTACGATATTGATCCTACCACCACTTTATCCTCTCCCTTTGCGATCATCCATTGCGCTATCTCCTCCGTCATAGCAATATAGGACACCATAATCGGGCCTTCTCCATGTATCCTTCCTCTGCGCACTCCTCTGTCGAAAATTCGCTGCCGCATCCATCCGTTTTCACATGCACGGATGAGATCCTCCCTGACTTTTAACGACAAGTCCCGTGCCGCCCCCTGAAAGATGACTATGACTGTTCTCTTTTTGATCCATGCGGTAGTCATCCTACCGATCATTTCATTGCCCTTGAAAACTCTTATCCCGTTCTCCACCACAAACTCTCCATGATCAAGCCCCTCCGGCATCACTCCATCCTCGAAGCATTTTGTCAGCAGTAACTTAACGCGAGCTTCTTCTGTTAGCCCCACATCTCTATCCCTCGGAGGGGATCGACCCGCTCAGCTGCTGCTGCTGACCTTGGGTTCTCTCCATCGTGAAGCCGTTCACTGAGTGTCGGAGTCTCCTCTCGTATCTCGTATCTCGTATTCCTGTCACTGCTTCTTCCCTCTTCTATCCGTTTCCTCCCCGATTTCTCCTGTTGCGCTTTGCCTACTTGGTCGGCGTTCCCTCAGCTCTTCCTTCTCCCGCGCTTGGAGTTTTCACTTCAAAGGTGAGCGCCGGATCTGGCGCGCACCCGTCCAAAACCTTCTCTAGTTCACCATATTCTCCATAAACAAGTTAGAATTCTTCGACACGTCATCATCATCTTCCTACAGCAAAAGGTCGGCTTAGGAGTATGGATATCCCCCGTCTCTGCGGGCAGTTCCTCGGTCTTGCCGAGTAGGACCCATACTCCCCCCCTTCACGGTATCGTGGTGGTACCGTCAAGGCAAGCCGAACCGGCGCCTACGCCGGTAGCGCTAACTTGGAGCGCTAATTCAGCGCCGTCCGGCGCGCCCCTCCACCGCCCCGCCTACATCTTCTGCTGCAACTGAGAAGTTTCTATTGTTTCTTTGTCTCCTTTTTTCACACACACACACACACACACACACACACACACACACTGTTTGTTGCTTGTTTCTTTCCGATCGTTTTTAGCCTTGAGATATCATCATTGAAAAGACCAACCCCAGGTAATTCAGACCGATTTATTCTGGTCATCCGATTGTATCTGGATTCGAACTTGGGTCTGCATTCCCGAAGTTTGTGGATCTGAGCTCCGCCCGTTGCTTCAATTTTTTTTTGTCATTTCTGTTACTCTTCCGGGTAAGCGCGTCGAAATTGGGAAACTTTTTTGGGGTAACATTTTTAATCCACCGGTACTTGGCCCAGCCACCAGCCGCGCAAAAAAATAGAGTAGAAATGCTTCTACTCGGATGACTCAGATGAATTTGGTCCCTCCTGTAGTGGCCCATACGTTTTCTAAAATTGTGGCTTGCTAACGAACACAGCTTTAGGAAGTACTGGTCGTTTAAGCCAGATGCATTCAATTATTTGATTGTGTCCCACCAACTGCGTTGGCAAAACACCCACCAAATGTAAGATAAAGGAAAACAATGGCGGAGCATCTTTGCGTATCTAGGCAAACAATTCATTCTCCTTATTCACGTTTCGTAGGTCGTACAGCCAAGTCCTTGGCGCGCCTCACTCGCTCATGGCTCCCCTCTTTTTTTTGTGTGTAGGCGGAATCGAACTTCGTTTTGCATTTCAGAGTAATGAGCATACCATCTTAGGGCACACTCGAACAAGAAACGTTTCTACTTCTCTGTGGATTGAGTCGCCGTCAGTTGCATCCTGCCCGGGTTGGAAAACTGGTCATGCACACCGATGAAAGTCATAGTGCGAGTATGCCCTTAGCCGGCCCGGCGTGCATGTTTTTTTTTTTTGTTTTTGCACGGCTTAGGGCCTTGGCACACCACTCTGGAAATGGAAATGTGAAAAAGACAAAAATTTGGCAGAGGCGCATCTGGCCACATTCTAGCGGGAAGTTGGTTCTCGTTTTGCACATTTCGAGAGTGGTGTTGCCATGCCCTCAGCCATTCATTTCCAGTTTGCCTTTGCAATTTCATTTCATATGCCCTCGCGAGGCCGAAGTTGGAGTCAGAAACATCGAGCGAAGTGATAATGTCAGTCGGGCATCATACGTAGATTTTTTTTTCCCTCTTTTCACGACTGTTCTTTGTTGTTTTTTTTTTTCCGTCTTCTGTTTTGTTGTCTCCTTGTGGTTGTTGGCATCCATTTTCACTATTACGACCGAGCGCCGGAGTTCATCCTCACTAAAGGCTTTGCCGCCGTTATAGCAAGTATATGGTCGGATCCGTCCACGAATTCAGGGAGGAGAAAAAACTTGACCGCATAGGGTAGCGGTGATTTAATCTAAGCCCCCATTAAACCACCAGTACTTGGCCCAGCTATCGGCCGCAAGGAAAAATAAAGTACAAACATTTCTGCTCGGATGAATTTGGGCGCCTCTGTGGTAGCCCGTACATTTCCAAACATTGTGGATCGTTAACAGGTAGCGGTGATTTAATCTAAACCATGAGTACTTGTCCCAGCTATTGGCCGCAGGGAAAAATAGAGTAGAAACGTTTCTACTCCGATGAATTTGGTCACTCCTGTAGTATCCCGTACGTTTCCTAAGATCGTGGCTCATTAACAGTTGTGGCTCCGTTGGCGCCTCCTGGTTGACGCCGCCGGTTAGTTGGCTCCATTGGCGCCTCTTGGTTGACGCCGCCGGTGAGTTGGCTCCGTTGGCTAGACTCCGTGAGTGTGTGCAAATCTGTCGCCTTGCCAGCTCACTTCAGTTTATCGGGTTTCAAACTCACGACTCGCCAATCACCATCAACATGCCAATCCTGTGCTTTCGTTTGGATCCTGATATCAGCAGCCACGCACACACACACATGCATCATCCACAGACTTCATTAGGACAGCTCGCACATACAAACCTGGGTCCAGTTTGGAAATGCAAACGCTAGCCTACCAGTAGTCAGAAATCCACCTTCATCACTCTTCCGCTGCCCAGATGCATTCTGAGATGACCTAGGTTTGTCCTCTTGCATATCAAGGACTTCTTTTCCCCCCCACCCAATTTCAACCAAACTCTGCTCCGACAGCAACAGCCACAAACCATTGATTAGCCAACGACTAATCAAACAGAGCACTTACTCCCAACTTCCAAACAAGTTGTGTAGAAAGCCCACAGTCCATCCGTCCTCGTCAACACATTGTGATTTCCCCTACCTTTCCTTCTCATCAGACAGACCTACGAACCCCACTTGCCACCCTATTTCAGACTGGACATTGCCCGCCATTCATCACATGTCGCTCACCAAATGAATGATAATGAACACTGGGTTTCCTTTTCTACCAGCAAACAGGACAAAGACCAGCCAAACAAATGAACAGGTGTCCTACACAAGTAGGAAATTATCGCCACCCTGTGACGCTTAACAGGCAGAGGCAGGACTGCTCACGCATTTCGCCTAGAGAAAGAACAGTCGAACACTCCGTCCTCTAGAGAGACATACTGCAAGAGCCACCACTGCCTGCATTTCAACCTTTTCTCGCTGGGTACAGACGACCAGGGCCTCGCTCCACTACTAAAAATGAATGCATATCTTGCCAGAGGCAGAGACATACTGAAAGAAAAATGAATGCATATCTTGCCACGTGCCAAAGACCTAACATTGACTTATGAGATCAAGGAAGGCTCGACGCACCTAAAAAGCACGGAGAGTGTTAGGCAGAGGTCAACAAAAATGTTTCCTAAACGTACGATCCAGAAACTGCACTTCTGTCCTTCGGAGGAAATGACAAAAAGCTGTAGCAAACAATAAAAGTTGAAACAATCCTCACTCTCTCCGCCTGCAGATGCAGGAGAAAGTCTGTTCTTGAGAGCCGGCGAAGGTACAACAAGAAACTTAGGAAATGCATTGATAGGTCTGATGCGGTCCCAACAGCATTCCCAACGAGGGGTACAATCAACCACGTCTCGTGTTGAAGGAGATGATAAAATCTGGACAGCAACCCAAAACCTGAAGAGGAAAAAATGAACCAAATGCTCACTCACCCTACCCTTTCCACCCACTGGTACAGGAGAAAGCTACCTTTCTCAGAGAGGGGAGAAAGGTTCACAGCAACAATACAGGAACACCCTCAGTGGCCGCAGAGAACGAAGGCTCTAAAATGAGCACAGTATAACAGCAACAATGCAGGCAGACATGACATAACAGGATGCTAATCGCAAGACGATAGATCAGTGAGCCCAACCTCCCCAACCCCCACCCCCCCCTCCCATCCCCCCTCAGCGCCAAGTAGCAGCAGGCAGCAAATAACACACGACGATTGATCACCTCCTCGAGCCTCCGTAAAACCGGCCTCCTGACCCTGACCAGCGTCTGCCACCGCCGCCGCCGCCGCCGCCGCCGCCGAAACCTCTTCCTCCACCCCTGCCGCCAGGCCGTCCATAGCCTCCCCCTCCACCACCCCCAAACCTCATCCCACCACCTCGCCCACCTCGCCCCGGTGTTTCCCTGTCATTTTGTAGCTCCGGAAGCGAATCTGTGACCTCAACCCATACGCCCCCACGACTGTCCGTAATGGATGTGAACTGTTCGGCAAATTTTGTTGGCACATCGAACACAGCCCCTTTTCGGTCCATCGTCAATGTCAATCCCTTAACCTCGTTCACGACGTCCTCGCTGAGCACCCTCCGTAAGCAGGTCCACACATAACCGGGCGAATATATCTCAGTTTCGGAATGGAAATGGAGTGTCACACCATCTTGCAGGAACGTCAACACAGACCGTGATAATGCTGCGCGGTGACCAGCAATCTTGGCCAGCGCCTTCGCAAGAGACTCAACAGCTCCGTCCTCTTTAATCAAAGACTCAGCGGCTTCCTTGAAGTAGGACACCGCACGCTCGGGAACAGCTTTGATCGCTTCAACAGCTCCTGCTGTAGACACCTGGGCAAGATCTGCAGAAGACGGGGGTGTTATCCTCTCAAATCTCACTCCAGCAGCCCTCTCGATCATGGCAACACGGCTTCTCCTTCCAGGTTGACATATCAGCAGAGATATGCCCGTCTTCCCTGCCCTGCCAGTACGCCCCGAACGATGGATGTAGCTCTCGACATCCCTTGGSGGCTCTAACTGAATCACTAGCTCGACATTGGCGATGTCCAAGCCCCTGGCTGCCACATCAGTGGCTACAAGCACTTTGAACTTTCCAGAGCGGAAACCTGCCAGAGTCACTTCTCTCTGTGCCTGGRCGATGTCCCCRTGAAGTGCCTTYGCAGACACGTTCSGCAGCCGCGAAACGAGCTCAGTTGCAGCGTTCTTGGTCTCCGTGAAGACGATTGTCCTTCCCTCTCCCTTGCTGTAACATTGGATTACATCCCCAATGACGCCCTCCACCTGTGCCGCATTGCACGCTAGCAAAAGATGGCGGACAGTGTTGCTCGCTTTCAACACCTGGTTTTCCACCAGGTCAACCATTTTCCGCTCCGGTTTCAGAAAACGAGCTGATATCTGTTGCACCCACTTAGGCATCGTTGCACTGAAGAGCAAAGTCTGCACATTCTGCGCGTCCCCTACAGCGCCCAGAATCAGTTCCACATCCTCTACAAATCCCATGTTCAGCATTTCATCGGCTTCGTCCAGCACTCGGAACTTCAGCCTTGTCAGATTCAGCACCCCACGATTCAGGTGATCCTTGATTCGTCCAGGGGTACCTACAACGATGTCCACACCTCTCCTCATCGCATCACATTGAGGAATGAAGCTCGCACCTCCGTAAACACACACTGTTGACAGACCCATCGTCTTTGCAAACATCTCAAAATCTGCATGGACTTGTTTTGCCAGCTCCCTCGTCGGAGCCAGAACTAAGACACTGGGTAGCTTCCGACCAGGGAACACATTAGCACCAGGTCGGGACAGGCTTTCGATGATGGGGAGAACAAACGCAAGTGTTTTCCCCTGCCCTGTTTTAGCTCTTCCTACCACATCGAACCCATCTAGACAGTAATCAAAAGTCTGTGCCTGAATGGGGAACAAGGCCTTGATGCCCTTCTTCTCCAAGGCATCCCTCACAGGCTTCGACAGCCGGAAATTCTTGATGTCCAACGGGTCGCTCTCCTCCTCCTCCTCCTCCTCCCCTTCGTCTGAGGGTTCCGGATCACCCCACCTTTGGACAACAGCCTCCCCCTCCTCGAGACTACCATCCTCGTAATGTCTTCTCCTGCCGTTCAGTATTACATCCCCCTCCGGCTGCCATCTTCCCTCGCTGCCAAACGGTTCGCTCTCATCGACACGCTTCTTGTTCCTCCGTCCCTCCTCCTCAATAACATCATCATCGCGTCTCCGGCTTTTCACTTTTCCACTGCTGTCCCCCTCAGCCTCCTCCCTCCTGTATTTGTTTGAATACCCATTTGCAGTAGCGCCATCGTCATCTCTCTTCTTCCTCTTCTTCTTCCTCTTCTCATCACCACTGCCAGACCCATCAGCATCTCTATCCTCTGAAAGAGCCTTCATTTTCTTCCGCYGCTTTGCCTCTTCCTTCTCTGTCATTGTCATACCCATCTCCTCCTCTTGTAGTCCAGGCATCAAGCAAGACCAAAGCACCAATAACAACCCCTACAGAAGGAAAGAGTCCACAACAGGAGATCACAGGGCGGACAGAGCTTTCGTTGTTGCTTCGCAGCTCAATCGATCACCCAGTTGAAGCTGCACTGACACCTGGCAGCCAAAACACCAACATCCGAAAGCCACACACTCACAAGCAGACAACGTCAGGCAATGTATCGCACGGCAGGCAACCCCACACGGCAGGGTGTAGTTGAGTCTTGACATCAGTCGTTTTCTCGACATCCACAGATGACCAACTGCACAGCTCGACTGAGCATTAGTTCACAATAAACAATAGTTCAGACAAGCTTGAAGAAGGCAGACAGCATCAATGAGCAGATGGTGACCTGAGACTTAAAGAAGCCTCTTTGAGTCGATATAGCTCTTTCAAAAAACAATTCCACCCAAAGAAAACTTGGATTAAAAAAAAGGACAACATGTACTCGGGTATCTGGGCAACTCCTCCATGCGGAAGAAGCCCTGACATTGCTGATCCGTTCATCGTACGTTCTGCGTCAACACACGAACCTTCCTCTCCAGTGACTGCTATTCATTTTCATTTCAAACCATTCAGTCTGACTTCAATCAACTGCTGCAACCCCTCTTCCCGTGCACACAGACGAGGTTGTAGTTGTTGATTGAAGTTCATCTAAGCTATGTGAAATGGAAATGAATACAGGTCAAAGAACTTGCAGTGTAGCAGAATTTGCATCAAGTGTTTCACATAATCTCACCTGTACATTCCATCTCATTGCTCACAATCTCTCACATAGACAATGTACTTCACTTAGACAAAGAACCTTCCATAGACAAAGCACTTCACATTGATGAAGTATCTCACATGAACGAGTGTCTTACACAGACAGACAAAGTATCTTAAATAGACGAAGTATTTCACATAGACGAAGTATCTCACAACCGACTACTCCCTGAAGGCGATTCACAAACGACGCCCGAGCTTGCATGGCAATTTTGGCGTCCAATGATTCATGTGAACACTTGGTCACTTCAGGGTACCTTGCCTCCTTCTCGTACTACTTCCACAGAAAGGTTAACTTTTCCTTTCCTGCCAATGGAACAGACCTTAGTTAAGACCGTTCAACTTACGTCGTTCATGGAACACTCACGAAGGCAGACACGATCGGATACTTTGGTGCAATTATTTCACTACCGTAGAAATGCCTTCACCTTCCAACCGTCCCTTCCCCTCAATAGACCACATTATATGGTGTGAATTTGGTGCAACGATTTCCAGCTGGCAGCTTTCAGATGCCCACCTACCAAATCGTGCTTTCCCCCAAATAGACCGCATGAGCCTCCATTGTTATCGTTTCTTAACGAGAGGCCGACCCAAAAATTCCGTTTTCTCTTTCTGTCTTGGAGGTGCAGCTTCCCCCAATAAGCAGGACATCAGAAATTTCAAGAAGACAAAAACAAAGACGACAACAAAAAAAAACGACAACAATACCCACACTGTGTATTCAAAAGAAACAGAGACAACAAGGGGGTGGAAGCTACCTACCAGGATACATTCTTTGAAGGGAAGCAAAAGGCCGTACGATGAAGCATTGCGTTGATTAGTTTGACCCTCAAATTTCACGCCCAGCAGAATGCAGGTTATGTATAAACTAAAAGAGAGGACAATGTTATGTACAAATTAAAAGAGAGGAGGATGTTATGTACAAATTAAAAACAGAACTCCGGAGGTGGAAGGGGGGAGAGAGACAGAGAGAGGGAAAGGGGTAAGTAGCGTGGAAGAGGAAGGAGCAGGAAGACAATGCGTTGGTTGGGTTTGTTGCCCTTTACGAACGAAAGGCAAGAAAGGACCAGAAGAAGGAAACTCTTCCTTTCTCCTCTGCCCTTCCGGCCAAGACATCGAAAGGCCGTGGTGGGATGCCAACAAAGCCCAGCGTATACGTGGGGCAAGAAAGAGAACTTGGCATCAAGGAGTCGGGCTGAGTGGGAGAGAAAGGGGAGAAGGGAGGGGGGAGGGAGGGGGGGCAGGAATGCAGCGCAGCCCAGAAGAGGGAGTAGAGAGAGCAGAGAGAGAAGAAGAACAAAGCAGCACGTCATAATCATCATCACCATCGCCATCACAACAAACCACCAAAAACTTTGCGAAAGTGACTCCGTAGAAGCTTGCGCTTCTTCACAGCCTCCCATGTGAGATAATCCGGCATCAAATCTGCCTTTCTCATTTTGTCAATCAGCTCTATCCCACGCTCCGTGTCGTTCTGTTGGGCACAGATTTGCAGCAATTCATTAAACACCGCCGTAGAGGGTTTCAATGCATAGTCCCTTTCCATCGAAGCAAGTAATTGCGAGATCTTGCCCCACTGCGGGGTTTTGCTTGCACCATAACCCCTGACCAATATGCCAAACACCACAGCATCAGGCCTCAACACCCCCTCCTCCTCCTCCTCCTCCTCCTCTTCCACCACCTTCTCCTCCCCCTCCTCGCCATCCTTCTTCCCTCCTCTCTTCCTACTGAACGCGGTATCAAAAATGCTCTGCGCTCTTGACATGTTGCCAGTCTTCACGCACACTGCGATTAGCGACGACACAGCTATGGTGTCCGGCTGAACCCCTTCTTTCTGCAGTTTGGCCATAACCTTAAGAGCCTCCGACAGATTACTCCGGCGTGCCAAATCACGAATCTTCCGCGAAGCTTCGATTTGCAACTCGCGCATGCTCCCTCGGGATACAGACTGCGACGCCTCTTCCTCATCTTCTCCACCCAGATGCCCTACCATTGATGTTCGCAATGTTGCTCCTTCTCCTGCTACTACGCCTGCTACTTCTCGAGCTACTTCTGCCGCTCCTTCTCCTGCTGTCGCTGCTGCTACTGAGCTGGCAGCAGGAGCAGCCAGGGAGACGTATCTCGCAGATGAGGAGAAAATACCGGCAGGCCYAGCGGCTGCTGCTGCTGCTGGGACGCAAGACCTGGCACGCACGGGCCCATAAATAACACCAGCATCARCCCCATCGTCATCACCATGATCGTGTGCCACCATCACTCTTCTATGCCCTGTACGACTACTGGTAGTATGAAAAGAGCTACTTTTGACAAGAGATGGAGGCCCGGTGATGAGCGGAGAACATCTCCTCCCCCTCCTCCTCCACCCGCTCTTCTTCATCCAGCACAATGACCAGAGGAGCCGCCCGCAACCACTATTGCTCGTCGCAAGACCGCCGGCTTGAAATGCGCTGCTGTCGTTGCCGCGAGGCAGAAAGCGTTCAAAGCCGTCCTTGAGTTGCCATTTTAGGAAACGAGACTTGGTGACACAGGTCTGCTGCCATTTCAGGGAGGTACATGTCATCGGAGCCACAGTTCTCGTTGGAATTGATACACGTGGCTGCGTGTCAGATGGAGACAGAAGCACGCCGAGTCTAGCCTTTCTTCTTCTGCTGCATGGGCACTGGCAATCATCGGCAGCGGAGGCAATCAACCTGGCATGCCCTCGAATAACCACTGGCATCCGATACTCGCAATGCGGACGAGTGACATTGTCACGCTGACCTGGCAAATGGTCACGCTGACGTGGCAAGTAGTCAAGCTGGCGTGGACCACATGACGGCCACAAGATGCCAGCGTGCTCTGCGTGCACAGACGAAGCCATCATCTATCTTCTGCAATCACGCAGAGAGATAACAGCAGAGACTTTGTCTTGCACAAGGAGGCGGCGGCCCGGGAAATCGACAAGAGCCTCAATCCCAATGTCGGGACACAGGCAGCAGCCTCCTCCTGGGCAACAATACAAAATACTGAATGCCCTGAACAAAGTGCACACCCGCATCACACCTGCCACAGCAGAGCAGAGGCCTGGGTTGTTGATTGATCTCCTCCACCCACTATCATTTAAGATAAATATGCCAGATGCAGAAAGAAGCAGGCAACTCCCGACTTCACGTGCTGCTGGCTGGTGCAAATGCACTCAAAGAGCCTGTATCCACGTCATCATCCAATCATCACAAGTCATTTCTGATGGAGTTCGTTTATTCCCTCTTATTTCCCTCTTCTCTGATTTAAAAAAACGTGTGCATAGTCAATCGATACGTTAAGCATCATATATATACATGTATAGTATATGCATATACACGTACATACATATACACATATATACATATATACAGTCGTTGATGCTTAACCACAGCCGGGGTTAAGGTGGATTATCACTTACAGTGTAATCAGTTAGGTAGGGGATTCTGCGGACTGTTTTTTTTTAGGGTTCAGCCTCCTGATGACTCGGTGAAACTCCGACGAAACAGTTTGCCACAGCCCCTCGTTTGTTGTCCTCTTCTCCCTCTCTGCCTACGGTTTACCGGGCAGCTCTGTTTGACTATATATGCATATATACATACGTCTACAGCCTCCTGATGAGTCGGCCTGATGAGTCGGTGAAACTCCGACGTAACAGTTTGTCACAGCCCCTCGTTTGTTGTCCTCTTCTCCCTCCCTCTCTCCCTTCAGTTTACCGTAGGCAGCTCTGTTTGACGATATATATAGACCTGTAGACGGGAGAAAAGGACAACAAACGAGGGGCTCTGACAAACTGTTTCGTCGGAGTTTCACCGACTCATCAGAAGGGTGAACCCTCGAAAACAGTCTGCGGAATCCCCTACCTAACTGATTACACTGTAAATGATAATCCACCTTAACCCCGGTTGTGGTTAAGCATCAACGACTGCCCGATGACTGATTCCCTGAGGTCGTCACCAACCACTGCCCTCAAGGTACCTCTCTATACATGCCTCTACATATGCATACACATAAATACACATGTACTTGGAATCATAATTGAACGAAAAGCAACGCAAAGAATCAAAATCATATGTAGTTCTACGATTCTTTATATCTCTTTCCTTGAGTTATAAATCAATCTCCTTCTCCCTCTCTCTCTCTCTCTCTCTCTCTCTCAGAATTGAACTTACTGAATCATATGCGATAATCGGCAGTCAAACATAATTTCCGCCAGTCAAACATAATTTCCGCGAATCAATCAGTCATTCTGTAGCAAACCAAGCAAATGCGAAAAGAAACAAACAAGAATCAGTAAGAAATCCCAAAAGTACCATTAAAAAATCACAAAACGGAATAAACACATACCAAGCCACAAGAAAAAAACGCTCGGTCCGTATATGTTAAGCTGCTGCCGGGGAATTTTTTGTTTTTTTTAATTAAATTTTTTGGACCATTTCTCGATTTATGCGTGTCATCCTTGCGCAGGGGCCATGCTAATCTTCTCTTTCTCTGTATCGTTCCAATTTTAACGGATGTCCCGAAGGACGAGGATTTTTCTTTTTTTCACACACTACCGTCTTCCCCCGAATAAAAGGAGGCAAGTTCTCCGTAGTTCCGGGCCTATTTTGAAAGCCACTATAGCGACAGCGACAGCTCAAGCTAACAAAGAATGATAAAAAGGTTCACCTGTTAAGCTGCCGCCGGGGACCTGGGCTCATTATTAACACACTCGCCTTCCCCCGAATAAAAGGCATGTTCTTTGTAGCTCTGTGCCTGGGCTGAAATATGTCTGCGCACCAGCTCAAGCTTAATAATGACCACTATGCCTTCCATTCGCCGCAAGTCTATTGTTCGTTTCTTCCAAAAAAAATCCGAACAACGCGTACCCCTCCCTATCTACGGCTCACTTTCACATATGCCCTCGTTACTTCCGAGTTCTTCACAAATATCCCACCCAAGCACCGGCGAACGCAGACTTCCGACCTAGTTTCCTACTTTGATTATCGCGTAACCGAGCATCCACATTTACCGAGCAGTAAGTGACGATAGTGATCATGCCCATTTACCGCGCAGTGGTCTTCCAAACACTTAACAGTATTTACCGCGGAGTAATTTACCAAATAGCATTCTACCGAAGGTAAATAAATAGAGGACTCACACGCTATAGCAAACTAGTGAGCACTCAAGGGTACATGTATCTGACCGTACTTGAAGCCACATCACTCAAAAATAACAATGCAGGTGCGATTATTATGCTTATTATACAACTAGTCTTAACACCACTTCTCTACGAAGAAATGAGCAGTCGCAGCCACGACAACAAAACATATTACTTGAAATTAACGAAGCCAGCCCTCCACTCATTC